AGGCATTATGGATGTGTCTGTGAAAATAAAGGCCCTATGTTTAAGGGACAGGGGGTTGATGTCCAATCTGAATTTGAGAAGTACCTTGCAGTCTGTTCCTTTTAGTGGATGCAATAGACTCCTGCATATTAATGGCCCCACTCAGAGGTTTCACTGGTAAGAATCAAATACATCACACACACATATCATCCTCACCTGAATGACATAGGAAAAGTTCCTATGAGGAATTATCTCACTCATCCTCCTTAAATATTGTAGCCATTCTTTGCTTTTCCTTTTTCAGAGGAAACTCTCATGCTTATAGGTATACCTAATGAAACTAACAGTCCCAGTATATTTTAGACAGACTTGCACACTTTGGGCTCAGTTGGCAGCTTTTATTAAATGGCTCCATCCATTGAGCTGAAATGGGCAATGGGTGTGAATAAATGCTTTACAGAGATGGAAGGACTGGGCCTTTATGCCCAGCTTTGTTCTCCCTGGCTCATTTTCTTTAAGCTCCTTCCACCTTCTTAAATGAGCTCTCTGCTTTGGTAATGTTGCCTTTTGTGCTTGTCTGCAGAAGTTATTACCCTTGAGTGTGGATACCACCCATGCAGCCCTTGCAGTGGTTAGAGGCCCACGCAAGAGTAAGATTCTATCCTCTGTTCAAAGTACTTCTTAATGTAGAGGCCTGAAAGGAGTCCCTTTCCTCAGTGTGGCATGGAACTTAAAACTAATGGCAAAGTTACCCCACCATTTTTAGAATAATTGCCACTTACCCAAACATTTCTGAGTTCCTTATAAATTGGCCCCCTTAGTCTCTTAACCATTTTAGTAGTTCTTCTATGAACTTGGTCCAAGTTTTCCATAATTCTGGTTAACAAGGTGCTCTGCAGGGAATACGGTGTCCAGGTGCAGTAACCTTGCTAGGGCATTTGGTGTAATGGGAGGGAGCAAGAGAGAAAGATGACAACCATCCACTACCCCGTAGGCTCTCATAAATATGTGGCAGCATTCCAACCAACAGAGCTGAGCTCATAGTAAATGAGTCGGTGAGTGGACTGGAAGTGGCCCCTTCCTTAATTTAGGTAGAAGGAAAGCCAATGGCCACTGGCTTGCAAGCAAGTAGTGAAAGTATATGTGAATTTGAGGAAATCTTTCACTTTAAACAATATTATAACTATACTTCACATTAAGAAATCATTATAAAGCAGAGGATGAGAAGGTCTTTATAGGTTTATTTCAAGGGAACTCAATGACCTGATCTGAATGTTACGATTTTCCCATTTTTTGTACTGTATTTGTATAAATAAGATTATTACAGTATTGTTTCATTTCCCATTTTTAATGGGCCAGAAAGGAAGTCTGGTAAAACATAGAAGTCACTTGAAATTGAGTGACTTTCTCAGGATCAAGAAAATGAGTAAATGATGGAGCCAAAATTATATTCCAAGTTTCAAGCCCTGGACTTTTCACTTGACTAAACAAACATGCAAAATATTCTTGCTTATAACCTGTTTCCAGTACTGATTGGGGAAATTAGATGCAAACACTGATTGGCAAGTCTTTTGATATTTTTAATTGTGTTCACGGTTTTCTTTTTTGTTTTTATAGTCATTAATTTACCTTTTTGCTTTTTTATGAAAAAATAAAATTCTGCAGGCAGTAGCATCTAGTACTAAGGAAAAAATAAGTTATTCAGTTTGTTAGGGCTCTAGTAGGCTCTAACAAGGTTCAGAAGGAACAGTATTAAGGTTTAAATACAAAACTCAATTATCTGCAAATATAAAACACTGTACTCTTTCTTGATACTTGGGACATTAAATATATAACAAATATTAATATTAAAATAAATATATAACAAATCTGATGGCAAGACTAGTTATGCATAAAGGACTATGCTAAAAAAGTACATGTCAGTTATGCATAAAGCCACATATCTTTATGACTAGTAATGTCTGACCTATATTTAAAATCTACAAATAAATCAGACATGGCAGTATTCACCTGTAATCCCAGCACTCTGAGAACCTGAGGCAGTGCAGTTGCAAATACAAGCCCAGATTAGGCATTTAGTAAGTTAGTGAGATCCTGTTTTAAAAGTAAAAAAAGTTCAAAAGAATTGGGATGTAGCTCAGTCCAGAGGCCCTGGTTTCAGTCTCCAATAATGAAAATAAATGAATAAATTCACAAGTATGCTATGAAAATGAAGCTAGGCAAGAGCTATATCAGAAAAAAATATAATAGCAATAAATATCCATGTTATTGTAGCATTTGAAGGATACTTTTTATGATCATGAGAATTTAAGAATTAAAATGCTGTTATTTTTCACAACCTGGAATGTTTCTTGCTACTGAGATTCTATTAAACGTCTTTGATATGGGATCAAAGGCAATTGATATTGTACTTAAGCCCTTGTTTCAAGCTCTTTTCTGTATCATCTATTTTTCCTTGACCATTCCAAGATGGTTGTTTTCTCTCTAAATCTCTAATCAAGTGAGTATTTGGGGAAAGTAGAATACTACTATTGAATCCAGGACTAGTCTTCTTTTCTCTGGTCAAGCATCTCTTTGTATGGGCCCTGTCTAACTTTGATAGCTGAATTCTGGACCTCAGTATCTCCTTTGAACACAGCTGGACTCTCAGATAGTTTGGTCTTTGGGGACTAATATACCTAAAATAACTTTGAATAGTTAAATTTGACCACGTGTGAAATGGCAGTTGCCTTTTAATTTTAATAGAATATTTTAGAGCATTTTTATGGAAAAGCTCTTAAAGTTCTTTTTTTCACTACCTTAATGAAAGGGAAAAATGTGTTGCTGTAGCTGTTATTTTTTTATAATAAATTTAAAGCAGTTCCTGCAAATCTTAACAAGTAAAATCAAATTTTTAATGCATTTGGCAAAATGCCTTTATAAAATTGTACAACAAAATAAAATATTCTAGATGTGAGCATTTTTGAGTAAAAAGACTGACTTTCTAAGAGTACTTACATCATGTATCAATATATCCGAGTTAATTTGCTACATAGGATTATCAACTTACATTATTACCACAGTAGGTACTGTTGCAACTGAAGGCTTGTGCTCAAATTTTTAATGTAACAGAAAATGAGATTCACAAATAAGAGTATTGCAGATAGAAACCCATAATTCTTTGACATACACAAATTAAGATAACCAGTGATATATGCTCTTGATGTAAACTAGTAATATAGGTTATATGGGCACTTTACTTTGGAGCTTCGCAAAGGCTGATTCTTTTGAACAAGATGCAGCGATATGCTGGTAATGCCTAACAAAAGGTCCCTAGAATAACAACAAAGACAACATACCTGATTTGCTGATTTTTATAGCATAAATATGAAATACAGAGTGAAGAAGAAAAGTGTACAGTTGTTCCCTCTGACCAGCTCGTGCCAACCTAACCCAGGAGACTGCTGAAGAGGAATTCTTTTATATTTGCTAAACGTTTCATTCAAAAGCCATCACTTATAAAGACCAAGTTTCATAGGGTTACATGTTTCATATTGGTTACCTGAGTAAGATGGAGTAGTACCAATACTATGGGCATGGAGCACCTAGGAAAGTTTTGAAAGGATTTAGTCCCCTTTTCACATGGAGCATTTTGAGCAAATGCCCAGTCATAAAGAAAAGTAACTTTTGGATAAGCGGCTTAATAAAATGAATAGAAGTAGAAAAAAATTAAGACAGAGATTTTATGCTACTTGTGAGGGAGGAATCTTTAGCACTGTTCTGCTCAGAGTGAGCTTTCATTTCATGGTAGTAAGGAAATATAACAAGGTAACATAAGAGTATGAACATTAAAATGGAACAATGAGAAGATAGAACACAAAATCCATGCTTTGAGGTCTTTTTAGAGTTTAATCTCAGTTTTTGCTCTAAATCTCTTCAGAGCCATAGCACAAGGTATAGATGACTTTATTAGTTTCTTTTTTTATTTTGAGAAAATGTTTTTAAAGTACAGGAAATAAAATGTTTATCTACATTTCCACCATACATATTAACAAATTTTTACGTATTTCCCCAGTCCCAGCCCCTGGCAATGACTAATTTGATTACTGTTCCTGTGGTTTTGTATTCCTAGTAAGGTATGGGAATTCTGGTTGCTCCACAGCATTGTCAACCCTTGATATTATCATTTTTTAAAAGTGTAGGCATTTAGTGGCTGTATAGTAGTAGCTCATTGTGATTTTAATTTGCATTTTATCATGAAATCTGTTATCTTTCATGTACTTATGTATCATCTGTCTCACTTTGATAAAATTCTATTCAAACCTTTTTTTGCCCACTTTAAAAATTGAATTGTATATTTTCATATTGATTTTAAGGATTCTTTTTTACTTCACACAAAAAAATATGGACCACTGCTTTTTGAACGAAGTTGCAAAACTCCTAATCTTTACCCCAAGATTAATTTGTCCTCTTACGTTGAGTTGGGAAGGTTTCCTTCAAGTTATGTGATCATTTTGGAATACTTTCCTGACTTCGTTTAGCATGTTGAGTTAATATGCTTAGTTCATTTATTTTTCTCTTAAGTTAAATGACTTCATTTAAAACTATATTTTTTCTCTGAATTTGAAAACATTTAACAAGTTTGTACGCAGAGTATTATGATCTGGATTTTCAGTGTCCCCAAAGGTTCATGTATTATAGGCTTGGCCCTCAATGTTGCATTGTTCAGAGATGGGGCTTTTGGCAGATGACTGAATCATGAGTTCTGTAGCTTCATCAATGAATTAAACCTATTAATGTATTAATAATTTGATGAGATCATGGAAATTTAGGTGAGACCAAGTTGAAGAGAGTGAATCATGATGCATGGCTTTGGGGAAAAATATATATACATACATACATATACACACACACATATATATTTTTTCTCCATACTGCAGATCGAACTCAGGACCTTATGCTTATGAGGTAGGCACGGTACTCCTGAGCTAAATCCCCAGCCCTTGGGGACTACATCTTGTCTCCACCCCTTTCCTTTCCAGGTCTCTTCTGTCTCTGCTTCCTGGCTGTCACGTGGTAAATTGCTGTGCTCCCCACCATAGTGTCTGCATCGCCACAGAAGAAATGGAGCCAAGTGACCCTGGGCTAAACCCTCTAAACTGTGAGCCAAAATAAGGTTTTTCTCCTTTAAAATTTTTTTCTCATGCATTTTGTCATGGCAACAAAAAACACAATTAGGAGCAGTTTTTTGGAAATTGAACTAACTTTAGGGTCAATCCATAATTGCTCTTTGAACCTAACTGCATGTTTTATCTTTCCTTTGCTCTTTCTTTTTTCTTGGTTTATCCTCTTGAATTAATTTTTTTACTTTGTTAGAATACATTATTTTGTATTTTTCAGGAAGGTTATGGGTGTTAAATTTTGAGATCTTGCACATTATTTACACTGGTTTTAAATGATAGTTTAGCTTGTTATGTAAATTCTGTTTGTCCTTCATTTTAAACTATTGCTCCATTGTTTTCTAGCATTCTGTGTTGTGGATGAAAAGTCTGATGCTGTTTTAACATTTCTTTCTACTTGATTATACTCATCATCTCTTACATAATTAATTAGAGCTTTCTCTTTATTATTAGGAATAATATATTTAAACAAAATGTTATCTAAGTGTTATTTCTGAACTGCTGGAAATGGGTTCTTTCTGTATGAAGAAACTCTAACTGGGAGAATTTTTTTCTATAAATTAGTTTTATTATTATTTTTTACATGCTTTTTCTTGAATACCTATTCAAGATGTTTATTAGAATTTTTAGATTTATTCTATGCATCTTATCTTTTCTTAAATACTTTTTTCCCTCTCTGTTCTTTGAATTCTTATTAGGATCTTTCAGTTTACTAAGTTAATTTTAAGTCCCATTCATTCTGAAATTCATGTCATATTACAATAATCATGAAGACTGCCAACAAGTTATTTTTTCATAGCATTTGTTTTGGTTGATGTATTTTTTTAGATGACATCCTTTCCTTTTGAAACTGTCTGTAGTTACTATTTCCACAATTCATTGTAACTTTCTATAATTTGTTTCCTCATTGAGTAATTCTTTTGTGGAGTTTGGTCCTTTTTAAAACATTTTTTAGACTTTCTGAAGTGTTTGACCTTTGGTGATCTGTGTATTTATTGATGCAGATCTATATCAGAAATTACTTGAGGGCTACAGATCACTAAAAAGTATTCAAATAGAATTCAGTGGATCTGAGTATTTAGATGAAAAATTAATTTACTAGCCTTATGATAAAATTTGGCAGTTTCTTTGATTATGAATGTAGGCAGCAACTACAAGGGTATTAATATTAAGTGTGACTTTGCTACTATTGGAAATCACAGATATTCCCATGTCACATTAATTTGTAAATGTGGATTAAAATCATCACTGCTTCAAAATTTTGGCAGTATTAGAACTACTGCTTCAATACTGTTATTTTGTGTGTAAATAAAAAATATAAAAGTATTTTTATAATAATTTAAAAATTATTTTGATGGTCTTACTTTGATGTAATTTTCCCTTTTCAAAATTTTTTATAAAATATATATTAGATATTTCAAAAATTAATGTATGATAGGGTCCACAGGCTTCATAAGACATCCAAAGGCATCTATGACACAAAAAAAGGTCTAGTCAGGTGTGGTGGCACACTCCTATAATCCCAGCACTTTGGGAGGCTGAGCCAGGAGGATCTCAGTTCAAGCACAGCCTGGGTGATTTAGTGAGACTGTCTCAAAATAAAAATAAAAAAGACAGAGGATGTAGCTTAGTATGAAGGCTCTCTGGGTAGTCCCTAGT